ACGGTTGGCCATTGGTATGTCTTCTTTTAAGAAAAGTATATTTAGGTCCTTTGCCCATTTTTAAATTAGATTTGTTATTTTTGCTATTGAGTTTGCTATTGAGTTTGTGTATTTTAGATATTAACCCTTTGTCAGATATATGGCTTGCAAATATTTTTTTCCAGTTTTATAGGTTGTCTCTTCATATGGTTGATTATTATTATTATTATTTTTTGCTGTAGAGAAGCCTTTTAATTTGATATAGTTTTATTTATTTTTGCTTTTGTTGCTTCTGCTTTTAGTGTTAAAATTAAAAAGTCATTGGGCTGGTAATTTAGCTCAGTGGTGCTACTGTCTGCCTTGTAAGCACAAGGTCCCGAGTTTGATTCCTGGTACCCAAAACAAACAAACAACAAAAAAAGTCATTGCCAAGACCAATATCAGGGAGCTTTTGCCCAGTGCTATCTTCTATGAGTTTTAAGTTGCAGCTCTTACTTTTAAGTAATCAATATTTTTCAAATTAGTTTTTGTAAGCTGTGTAATCTAAAGATCCCATTTTTAATTCTTTTGCACATAGATAACTAGTTTTCTCAGAATCACTTATTGAAGAGACTTTCATTTACCATCTATTGTATATTCTTGATGTTTTTGTTAAATATTAGTTGACCATATGTGTACAGGGTGATTTCTGGACTCTCAGTTCTATTCTGTTAGTGTATATGTTGTTTTTATGGAGTGTCATACTGTTTTGATTACAGTGGATTTTAATATACTTTAAAATCAATTAAGTGCAATGTCTACAGCTTTGTTTTTCTTATTTGAATGCTTTAGAAATGTTAATCTTTTATAGTTCCATATGAATCTTAAAATTGTTTTTTCTACTTCTTTGAAGAGTATCTTTGGAATTTTGATAGAGATTTCATTGACTCTATATGTCAGTTTAGGTGAACATTTTAACAATATTAACTCTTCTGATCTATGACATGAGATATTTTTCCTTTGTGTCTTCAATTTATTTTATCTATGTTTTGCAATTTTTAGTGTATAGATTTTTAAACTCATGATTAAATTTATTTCTAAGTAATTTATTGTTTTTGATAGAATATAAATTTTATATTTGTTTCCTTTTTCAGGTTATTGATATATAATAATACATTTGATTTTTTTATATATTGATTTTGTATCCTGTAATTTTATTAAATTAATTTACTATTTCTAAAGTTGTTTTTGGGTAGAGTTGTTAGAGTTTGCGATATATAAAATCACACCATCTGCAAATTAAGGTAAATTCACTTCTTTAGTTGCAATCTGGACGCCTTTCATTTCCTTTTCTTGCCTAATTGTTCTGGCTAAGACGACTTCTTTATACTGAATAGAAACAGTGAGAGTGAAAGAGTAGATTTTATTTTGTAAGAAATGCCCATACTGTCTTCCAAACTTGTTTTTAATATATTACTTCTTTTTAACAATGAAAAGTTCCTATTTTTGCACATCTTTCCAGCACTTGATGTTGTCTTTAGGTTCATCCATGTTTTCCCAAGTGATAGGATTTTCTTCTTTTGAGTAATATTCCATTGTATATATACCCCATTTTTAAAACTTAACTGTTGGTGGACACTTAGCGCAATTCCATTTCTTGACTATTGTAAATAATATTGCAATGAACATGGCATTGCAGGTATCATTTTGGTGTATGAACTTCCTTTCCTTTGGCTACATGACCTAGCAGTAGCATTCTAGATCAAAATGATAGAGAGGGAGAGGGACAGAGAAAGAGAAAAACAAGAAACTAATTTTGATTCTTTTACTTGAAGGCAAGTGGAAAAAAGAAATGGATATTTCCTTTTCCTGAGAATAGCAGATTATATTTGGATTTGGGGTAATGTAATATTGGATTAGTAACCTTAATCTTCTCTTTTATTTTATTTATTTTTATTTTTTTGTACCAGGGATCAAACTCAGGATCTTGTGCTTGAGAGGCAGGCAATGGAACCACTGAGCTAAATCCCCAGCCCCTAATCTTCACTTTTAAAAAAATTATTTGACAAATAACTTAATATTTCTCACTCTGTTTCCCATTTACATACTAAAAATAATAATACCTCTCAAGATGATTGTAGTGACTAAATCAGACAATGAAAGCAGCATTATAGTTATAGCATGGAACTGGAAATAGATTTGGACACAATCTTGCCTATGCTACTTGAACTATCTGAGCAATCTTGTGCAAGTTAGTGTTCACTATGGTGAAAAATTAGTGATTGAATTTATTATGTAAACAAGTTATAAGAGATACTGTAAGAGATGAAAAAATAAAGGATTTTTAGATGCAAGGGTAAATCTTCATAGCTAATGAGCAATCAAACTTGGGTTTTCTGCTCCTATGGCGTGGGTTTTTAGTCCTTGAATTTTCTTGTTTCCTAAAATAAAGCCATTTAATATTGTGGTATGGAGTTGAGGATCATACACTTTTCTAAAATGTCTGTTAATAAAGTATTAGGGAGTTAGATATGTACTGGGCAGAGCCTTGCAAAGTGGGAATATTTTCTATGTTTACCATTGTGGGACACTGAAAATAAAACTTCCTGTTCTTTGTCTGTCATGGAATTAATGCTATGAAAACATACTGAGTGAAAGAGTGTTTTACCATAATGCTGAACATAATTTATTTTATTTGATCTCAGAAGGATTCAGTGACATTTCAGAAAATATAAAAGTTATTTAAAAAATTATTATGCCTCTTTATTGATCTGACAGCAAGACTGGTGAAAACCTTTATAGGATATTAATAGGACTCTGGTTTTAGACAGTATGAAGAGGTTGACTTGTGGGTATCTTATGTGAAAGCAGACAATGGTTTGTGTTCAAATGGGCTTGAAGAAGAACTTTTAAAGGTCAAGCAGGTAAAAATTCAAAGGTTGAGGTGGTTCGTGGAATGGATCTGTAGAACAGAAGCTAGAGTGAACTTAATACCACAATACAGGTTGTTTTGCTTACATGAGATAGTGAGAGCACCTACAGTTAGTGTTTTTTTTCCTTGCAATACTATAGGTGAATAGATTTGAAAGTTCATCAACTCTGCCTATTATTAATATGCTAAAGACGTATTAACTACTTCCATCACATCTGATTTCATTTGAGTAATTAAACAGTAATTTTTATTGTCCTCTAAAAGTATCTTCTAAATGATGAAACCACAGTGGAGGGCCATTTTCCAAAGATTTTAATTGGTTTAATTCTTGTTAGGAAACATTGGAATGGAAAATTTATACTAAGTTAGTGAGCCAAATAAAGACATGGAATAGTGACAAATAATCTAAGGAGAAATGAAGCCCTGACCAATGACCAAGCTTATAGTTGGGATTATGATATCATCAAAAAATTATGCACTGGACCAAGAAAAATAAGTTTAATTAAGCTTTTGTAAAGTTACTGTTATGAATTTTTAAAATTTTTGTTTGTGTGAAAGAAAAAATGGAATGACTAATTGAGCAGTAGAAATACAGGAGGGAAATAGAGGCAAAAAAGAATTCTTCTGGGCTGGGGATTTAGCTCAGTGGTTCCACCACCTGCCTTGCAAATGCAAGAACCAGAGTTCAGTCCCTGGTACCAAAAAAAAGAAAAAAAAAAGAGAGAGAGAGAGAATTCTCCTGAATGTTTCTAAGATAGTTAATTAATATATGTACAGTACAATTTATATCTTACATTATACTTGTAAAATATAATTATTATATGATACAGATTTTTTACAATTGTTTTAAACTTAAGTATCTTTCTTTAATTATTTTCCTAAGATTGGCACTATAGTTATAGATTTTAAAATTATACTCTGACCACTTCTAAGTCCAAATATTTATCATCATGTAATGTAGTACAAGGATCAATGTAAGATGCACACACATACATATTTATATTTGTATATATATCTCTGTATAATATGCATATATTCAATTTTAAAAATTTATATATTGTGAAGACCTTTTAATGTCTCTGTGTGTGAGTTTATGCAAACTCTACTCTGAGTTTTACACTATGAAGATCACTATGTGATTTCATTTTATATTAAAGGTTCATTAGAGAATTTTTACTTTATATTAACTCATATTAGGCCTCACATTGGAAAGGCTTCCTCTCTTGATTTTTTTTTTTATTCCAAGAATTGAACTCAGGCGAAGCAGGTGCCGCAACCACTGAGCTAAATCCCCGGCCCTCTTGATGTATTTTTATGAAAGATCCTTAGAGTAGCATAAACTCTAACTTTTCCTCAGAGGCTATGGAGTATCTTGACTGTATTACCAAAAGATTTATCTCTTTATATACCATGTCAGGTTCCAGTGGCTGAAAGTTGTAATAGATCAATAGGAAGGTGTTTTCCTTTTTAAATCAGTAAAGTCCAGAATTTTCTTTTGATATGTTAGTGGTGAAACTAAATACAGTTTATTACTTACAGTGATGCATAATGAAAATAATATTGAATTAGATATTATAAAACCAGCTCATTTGCTCTATGACCTTGCTCTGTGACTGCTTCAGCCTTACCTGTCACCAGCAAAAATATGTGGCTAATATCTTTGTTGTCCATTTCATAGTGTTGTCGAGATGAGATGATATATTTAAAAATACTGTGTTAGTGCAGTCTGGAAATGTTATTATTATAAGTAGCAGTCACTATAATAAGCTTTCATATTATTCTGACAGTTTTATGATGCAAGCAACATTAATATTCAAATTTTAGAGATCAGGAAGTTGAGGTTGAGAGTGCATTAGGACACTTTGGTGAAACAGAGGCAAGATTTGATTCAAGGCTTTCTGACACTAGAATCAATATTGATATCACGTCATTTTCATCATTCATCTCAATAATAATTGCTAGATAGCCTTATATATGAACTGGTTAAAGCAGTAAAATACAATACTTTATTATCATGTCTGAATTCTAAAATGTGAAATCAAAATATTATTCATTTTCATGAAATTGGAATATCACAGGGTTCTAACCTCTAAATGTGTTTTTCTCATAGAATTTAATTGTCCTGAACCCACTCGTGGTGACTGAAGAAGAAATAAGACCATCACTAGAAAAACGCCTTGAAGCCATTATCAGTGGGGCTGCTCTGTTAGCAGACTCCTCCTGCACAAGGGACTTCCACCGAGAGAGGATCATTGCAGAATGCAATGCCATTCGCCAGGCTCTTCAGGACCTGCTTTCAGAGTACATGAACAATGTAAGTGACTTATTTGTCCTGTCATCCCTGTCCCCATTTTCCTCTTGTACTTTGAGTGTGTGCTATGATGCTTTGTGTGATAAGTATGATCAATCACAAATAAGTATGTGATTTTACATGTATTGTCTTTCTGGAGGGATTCTCCTTGGTTGTTCATAGTGAACCGTAAACCTAGGTGTTTCTTGGAATAGAATTAGAGCTAGATGAATATTTACACAAGATTGTTTTTTCTGTAGAAATATCTATATATTAGTTGAAGAAGTGAATCAGATTTGGAAAAATAAAACTATAGTTATACATTAATTTAGCAAATTTAAAAAAGATAAAGAATGGCAAGTTTCTCAGGATTAAGTTAGTGAATAAGAAAAGAGCATTTGAATTACAATTTAGACAGTATCAGGTAAAAGTGAAAGCTGCAGAGATTGTGAGCCATATTTGAAGGTGGAAAGAGCTCATGTCATTTGGATAGCTCTTAATTCTTTTCAAAAGTGATAGTGTCCTAACTTTTGCAGTTTTAGATGTTGCTCAGAAATACTGAAAATGCTGCCAAAATTTAAGGGAAAATATTTGCTTCAAGGTCCTTTCTATTTCATTTTATGCATACATAGCTCCATTTATGGAGGGTGTATAACTTGTTCTCATCAAATCTTAGTTTTAATAAAATGAAGACCATAGTGAAGATATTGGTAGTTGTAAAGTAGTCTCCCTTCATCCACAGTTTTACTTGCTGTGGTGTTATTTGTTCATGCTTAGCCATGGTCTGAAAACATTAAATAGAAAATTCCAAAAATGCTTCTTACGTTATAGTGCATGTTGAAATTATTCTATGACTAGCCATATTGTTAATTTCATGTGCCTAATTTATAAATTAAAGTTCATTATAGGTATGCATGTATAGGAATAATAATGCCACAACTTGGATTAGGTAATACATTTTCAGGTGACCAGTGGGATCTTGAAACATGTTCCCCACAGATGAGGCGGACTATTATGTATTAATCATGAAGGCTTTTTAAATAATAGAACTATAGAGTTATATTAAAAATATTTTCTTTATCTATTTTAAGGAGAATAACTCAGGATTTATGAAGGTATGTTTTAAAAACTATTAAAGTATAGGCCTTTGTAGTTATGAAATTGAAGATTTAGAGTTGTTTGATAGAACTTCTTTATGTGAATAATTGAGTTGTGGTAAATTAATGAGTTTTGAGGATCTTCCAGCACATTTGAGGTATCTTCATATTCTTAATATTTGATGACTTTGACTCCTGACCAACAGTCTCTGGGCTGTGAAGAAATCCAACTTGTAAAGCAGATTTTATTAATAAGAACATATTAGTAATGTGTCCTGCTAGAATATCTGAAGCTAGAATATTCTTATTTTTAACATAAGATATTTTAAAAGATTTATCAAGGCAATTTTCAGTCTCAAGAAACTCAGGCGATAAAGTTACATTAGAGCTTCTCCCCTGATGTATAGAATACTAAGATAATTTCTCTTATAGATAAAATATAATAAAGTCATATAGACATTTAGCCTATCTATAAATTATAGATAAACTGACTTTTAAAAAGTTATTTTATTTTTTGCAGGTATAAATGTAGGCACAAGCAGGCATATGTACTTACCCATACACATATATATAGATATGGCTACATAATTTGTGTAGCTGAGTAGAAAAATAAAAATGACAGTCTTTTTATTCAAGCACCAAGAGAAAAAAAATCTCTCCATTTTTTCCATTTCTCTTGACCTCTGTAATATTATTTTTATTTGCTGCTTAATCTTAGATTTAATAACATATAGGGATACTTATGGAGTAAGGCAGACCCTCAAAGGCCCTGCCCTGTGATCCTGATCCACTCTATGGTTTATCAAGGCCTCCCCCAAGGCAGGAATGGGGAAGTAATTGGTAGGTGTAAGAACAAGTGTTTGAGAACCTACTTTAGGAAGTCACCCAGACACAGGACTGAATGTGAGCCTAGATAGATACATTCTTGTGCCTTTGGAGTATACAAATTCAAAGAAATTTCAGGACTATGACAGCAACGCACTAAAACCTAAGCATGGGGCCTCTTTTTTAAGTGTGTGGGCCTCTGCATAGCTGTATGTCCCTGAAGTTGACACTGTAAATTATAATCATGCATCACAAAAATACTGGTGATTTTTATGGTTTCCACAAATTAGTTATAAACTGTGAAGTGGTGGGGCATTCAATCTTGAGTACAATCATTAAGAATGTGCACTGTCATTAAAAGAAATTTATAAAAACTAGCAAATCCAAATAAAAGTCAGTCTTTTTTTACTGTTCTCATGCAATAATCATTGTAAACACCAGCAATAAACTAATGTTTTTCACCAATTTTTTTTTTTGGTCTATGCTCCAAACAATTGTGATTATTATTGTTTTAATAATATATATGATTAAAGTTAAATGTTAAAGACTGTCCTGTAACGTTATACTTTTATAAACATATTCATTATTAATAAAGGAGACTCAAAATAAGCTGTGATTACACACTGATTGTATAACAAAGAACTGGAAATTGAGTCAGTTCAATTCTGTTATTTGATGTACTCAATTGGGATTTTTGAGTTTAAAATTATTAATGAAACTGTGGATAGCAAGTGGTAATATTTTTGTTAGGTAATTTCAAATTTAGTTTGTATGTGAAATATTTAATTGAATTTGAATAATAACTTTAAAATGTATTCTCTTTGAAATTTATTAATTACTTTAACATTAAAGGGTACATCAAGAAAATAATAATAATTACTACTTAGGAATGGAAAATAATTTTGTCAAAGAGAAAGGAGTTTTTTAAAAATATCTACTCCAGGTATCAAATATGCTAAGTAAACTACTGAAAATATGAATTATTTTTCTATTTCCTTTTGCTCTTCTCCTTAACAAGGATTTAACCTGATTATTAGTTTTAAGTCCTCTCTTCAAGTCCATAATTTATGTTGCTAATGTCTTTTGTTAGATAGTTCTGTTTTCAAATAAGGTAAGTTCTGCATCAGAGATAAGTAGAGACATATTTATTTATAGTATCAAATAACAAAAAGAAAAAATAAGTAGTTATTTTTCTTTTTACTTTACCTAATAATTATCTTAAATTTTATTTTTTAGGGTAACCTTAGTTGTAGGAAGGCAAATATTTCCCATTGATTTAATTGACTAAATTATAGTGCTACTCATACTTGAAGGAGGCTAGTTTCTTTTTTCTCCCTCACTTCCCTTTTCCTTTTCTTCTCTGCTGACAAAGGAGTGCAAACACCCTTCCTAAAACACCTTTCCTTTGTAGCACTGCTCCCTTCCCAGCTCTCATTCCCACTGGAAAACTCTTGTTTATTTTTCTGGCTTCCACACTAAGTTGGAGGTCCAGAAGAGTTTGGCTGTGTCCCTGGCCACTAGCACAGAGCCTGTCAGGGGGCTGGTGCTCAGTAGTTTTTATTTGGATACAGATACATTAAATTTAATGACTGCATCTTTTCTTATTAAAATAAATGAAATGTGCTTGAAGCAATTGCATAATTCACATTTTAAAATTTGTATGAGAATTATGGAGAATGGAGAAAAGGTGAGAATGGTCAGTGATAAGAACAGGAACCTAGGAAAAGAAGGACACAGAAATAAAGAAACGTGTTATATGGTAATCTAAATACAGTGCATTTATCTATTCTGTTTTTATAGTCTGACATAGGTATCACTGGGTTGCAAAATCAAGCTTAAAAGGCTGCATTATTTTCTGGAATCTCAAGGGAGGAATACATTTTCTTGCCTTTTTCAGCTTTTAGATGCCACCATCATTCCTTTGCTTCAGGCCCTCTTCTCCATCCTCAAAGTCAGAAATGCTGCATCTTTTTGACCTTGTTTCTCTTGATATTTCTTTTCCGGCTACATCAGGGAAAATTTCTTTGCTTTTTTAAGACAGACTCATGATTAAAATTGTCCAAGATAGTCTTCCGATATCAAGGCCTTGAATCTTAATTACCTCTGTAAAGTCCGTTTTGCCGTACGATAACATAGGGTCTGGGAATTAGGATGTGGACATTGCTGGGGCAGGGGGGCTCACCACATGTATCAGTGTAAATTGTCCTTAATCTCATCCATGAAAGAATGACCAATTCTTACATTTTGAATCCATTAGAGTTAGTAGGCCTGATATACTTTAAACTTTCTGCAGGCAAATCATGTGTTTTGTTTACTGTTATTTTATCCCATGTTTAAGGCATAATGCATGGCATTTAGAAAAAGTTGATTGAATTTTTCACATGAAATTATTATATATTGCATATGTCCTGTAATGGAATAGTCTTTTTGACATTAATTTAAATGAGTTTCAAGCATCTTCTAAATTTATATGACAGACTGCCTGTTATAAAATATTTTATTTTGCAAAGTATGTCTCCTCTAAAAACCTATGTGAATATTCAAAAACTTTTCTTTTCATTACAGTCCCTGCTTTTGGATCCATATCTGGTCATATGCCAAAATGCAGTTTTTTTTACTAGAAAATATAATCTATAGAAAATTCAGAATCAGGGAATGTATAGCTTTTATCTTTTAAAACTTAGAGGTATATGTTTCTAAGGTATTTTTGCTGATTTTTATTATACTTCCATGATTAGTTAGGTGTAGTCCATCTTTTTTTTATATACAATATAAGTAAAAAATTGTTCAGTAGATGGCACAGAGTAAAGAGGTCCCCTGAAGAAGGAAGGGTTTGGGGGAAATGAGTTACTTTTACATGGTGATCTTTATATAATGGGCGAAAACAGAATTGGAGGTGAGCAACCATTATGCCTGAGTTTTAAGATATCAACAGATATGGATATTTTTTTGAAGAGTGGTTTATAATCATATTGGTATTGTTAAATGCTGAATGTATTACAAGGCAAGATCTTCAAGTGATGTACTGTAATTGGTTAACATTCACATGATACTTTACTGCTGGGGAATATTAGAGCATTGGGTAGAAACAGTGCTACTGAG